TTTCGTAACCATTTGATACTGCTATTGAAAAGTAAACACTTGCTAATTTTGTAATTTAAATGACTGAAAGTAGTTCCTTGTTTCAGCCTCAATAACAATGCATTTTCTGGTTAAAAAGAAGTGGAAAATAAAGGTTTGCTTTAAAAGTCGTACTTTACGCATACTTTTACGGAAATATGTGCATCTCATATGAAGGGGCACTTCTAGGAAGGAGCAAGCCTGGGGTCTAGGCCAGGTGCTGCCAGTTGCCAGCTGGGAGCCCCTGGCCATTACTTAACCAGGGTCTCTGCTTCCTGATCTGCCCACTGGGCCTACTTCACAGGAATGCTGTGCAGACCGAACAAAACAATGCCATCAAATGTGCCATAAAAGCGCCACAACGACCCAGGTGAACCACACATAAGGCCACTTCACCTAACACACCCTGGTGACCTAGAAGTCTCATCCTTCCCAGTTCATACATGTGGCAAGTGACATGCAAAAGGGTAAATAACCCAAGGCCACACAGCTAGCAAGTGACAGGGATCATATTTAAACCCAAGATTCTAGTGTCCACGGGTTTTCCATCTCTCCCCGTGGCTACTCACAGACATGAGGTATTGTTAGTCATTGATATTTTGTGATGTGTTATTGGCACAAACTTTGTATAACTTTACAGGGCCCATGACATTTTTCTTTGTACAAAAGGTCTCTCTCTGAAAGATGAAACATATAATAACCAAATGAGTCAGTTTCCATTTTAATGAATTAAAAATGTATTTTCTCTTGAATATTAGAATTAACCAAAATCTTAATTTGGCCAAGGGCTGTGATATTAAAGTCTCTTTAAAATATATACCTTAAGTTTTCTTTTTTCAATAATTTATGGTTTTTTAGGCCATCCCGTGGCTCACTCGGTAGAGTGCGGTGCTGATAACACCAAGGCCATGGGTTCGGATCCTATATAGGGATGACCGGTTTGTCCACTGACTGAGCGTGGTGCTGACAACACCAAGCCAAGGGTTGAGATCCCCTTACCGGTCATCTTTTAAAAAAATAAATAAATAAAATAATTTAAGGTTTTATAAACATTCTTAAGTATTATCTTGACATTTAGATAATACATATTTTTTCCCAAATATTAATTAGAAATAATAAGTAATCTGCCAAAGTGCTATTTTTTTGGTAACCAAAAAATTTACTAATGGCAATGATGTATGTCTTCAAAAGCATGTCAGCAATGTTATTTTCAAAGCACAGAAAATGCTGAAATAACAAATTTAAACGATAACTGCATGCATAGTGATTATGCAGGAAATCTACACTGTAGGACTCAGTTGCTCAAATCTCCAAGTGAGCAAAAAGAAAAAGGCTTGGGCAGACAGCGGCAGCTCAGTAAACTGGAACAACATTCAGGCTACTCAACAGATGCGTTCGTGATGGGAGAGCTTGGAACACATGGTTAGAATCCTTTGGGCTTGTTTTAAGACCCATGATAACATCTGTGCTTGCCGCCGCCTCCTTCCTTCAGCTATTTTTGTTGGTTAATTTGGTTCAAATCAAGACTACGGAAAAAGTTAGTATCCTCCTGGGAGCTCATGCTTATTTTAAATTATGGCCGCTTCATAGCCTCTTTGGGGCTCTTGGCTTACCCGACACACGGAGAACCCCAGCTGAGGAGCACCACATACGCAAAGCAACAGTGACAGAAACAGAGGGAGCGAGGCAGAAATGTGGGGTGGGAACAGAAAACAGAGGCCACGACTCCCTTCTCCATCATGTAGAGATTAGAGCAGATCAAAAGGAGACTACTCAGAGTTGGCCCAAAGAGAGAAATTTAAGCTATGCTGCCATCGATCTTTTTAGGCTGCCCAAACATGTTAATATAGTTAAATGGCTTATGACTGTTAAGCAATTTTTGGACATTTGTTACTCAGTACTGTTGTTTTGCTGAGACATTGCATGTCACTAAACCCAGGAAAATAACCCAATGATATATTATATTTTGCTTTTGACACATGCAAAAACAAAATGGTAATATATCTTTTCTGAGTGGTGGATAGTCAACATTATAGTCTTAAACATACTTCCTGTTTTTTCAGCTAGAGCCCTTAGAAATGACATATTTCTCCTAATGAGAGATGACATGCCAGTTCTAAGACAACTGTTGGGTGTAGTCATGACACACGCAGGCATGCTAAGAGGTCCAAAGCTTGGCGCTAACTCTTGGAGATACACCTTATTAGCCTTGTCAGGGTGCTAATAAATCTCCACTAAGCAGGGTGCTGCCTGGAGAAGCCTGCCTCCTTACCTTTGATATGGGGAATGAAGTGGTGTCGGAAGGGGGGGTTGGGGCGGGAGTCGCTGTGGGTGGAGCTGAGGCTGCTGGTGCGCAGGTAGGACAACCTCTGCACACCAGGAGACAAAAGCTCTGTGCAGCAAGGAGTCAGGGGTAGGGCAAGGTGGAAACAGAAAAGAAGAACAGAAATTAACACAGGAGCAGGGAAAGCGTCATTGTTCCAGGGGGGGGGGGGGGGGAAGCAGAACGTTAATCAGGAGTCTGAAAAAGGAGGAAGGAAAAAGGGTTAAGATGCACCTACTAAGGGTTAGGCAAAGTAGAAAGAATTTGCAAATAGTTTCCGGTGGATACAGAGTCACTCTCTGAGAATAAACGGCTTTGGTGAGAAGGAATGGTCATTAGGAGATCCTCTGTAGGATGATGCCAGCTACTGTTGAGCCAGTACCGAGCATATCATTTAGACTCAATAATAGGTATTTTTAAAAAAGCACCTGACAAAACAGAACCCTCTGAAATGCATGTTAAAAAAAATAATCATGTCAAGAAACTTGAAAAGACATACTTTTGTGTAAGTCATATATTTTCTTAAGCTGCAAACTCATCCCCCCAGAATTTTAATTTTATTTTGCCTATGTAGAAGGACAACCTGTGTTCCCTGGGTGGCAGAGTTACACATGATCCTGAGAATTGTGCAGTGGTAATGCTGGGGACTGGAAACTCGGTGATCTCAGAGGAGGGAAGGACCATTAAAATGAAACGCAGACCCAGGGGATTTAAACCATCATCTGGCACCTAGAAATTATGGAGTGGATACTTTGGGGAGTTCTATACAGATCTCAAGTATGCTATTAGAAGGGTGGGCCTCGAAAAAATAACTATAAAGCCTAACAATTGGCATCATGCATGTATATAATATATTGTGAAAGGAGAGAAGGAAAATGCTCTAAAGTCTATTGGCATCGGAACCATGATTGGAACAGATGAAAACTTTCACATGCTCAGTAAGGATGAGAGCTTGTGAGGCCACAAGTGTCGCTGCCTGACCACTCCCTCGCCATTCAGGGGTCTCTGGAACAACAATTTCCTGGAAACTCCATGCCACTCTGACAATGCCACAGCTGGGGTCTCAGTGACCTCAGCATATGACATAATGCAGGGTGGCAGTATAAAAGATTTCTCATCACCCAGATGGATAAGGGCTTAAATCAAGACCCATGTCCAGGGCATGAATCAAATGATTCCTTTGGTTTATTTCTTGTACATTTTATAAAATAAATCCTCTGATGAATGGGTTTGTTCTCATAAAACCCAATGCTTGCTTTCCAGAAGCAAGGAGCTTAAAATGAATTCTTCATAGAGGTGTATCAGCACCACCAAGTCTGTTTAGAGGCCAAGATCTTCCTAGTGAATCTGTTTCTCAGGGAATCTTGGATGTGTGCTGGGATCTCCATTCTTCTACTATTGTACATGTGGGACACCTGCTAATAGCTATACGTACTAAATTCTCTATAGATAAAGGTCAGCTAAAGTCCATTTCTATGTGACACTCTTTACTGCAGTACATCCGGGTGTTTTTATGTTTTCCGAGTCTGACTTAAAAATCTTAGGGCTGGACGGGATCTTGGAGGTTGTCTACTACAACCCTGATCTCTTTACTGCAGTACATCCGGGTGTTTTTATGTTTTCCAAGTCTGACTTAAAAATCTTAGGGCTGGACGGGATCTTGGAGGTTGTCTACTACAACCCTGATGCTTCTTTCTGGAAGGTGCTTAACCAAGCATGCTTAGTAACAGTATGTGCCTGGATAAGGGAAACATAATAAACTTGTTAATAAATGGCTAATAATAAATTATAGATGATGATTTGCCTAAAAAGCACATAAAAATATATTCTTTTGGAGATATTCATTTTAAGTCTCAAAGTGATGAGATTTTCATTAAGTCTAATAAAAAAATCTCCCTTGCTTCCAGTAGTTTACCATCAAAATGAAATTATTTAATAAATCATAATCAACATAGCCAGAAAATGACTGGTTCAAGAAAAGATATAACACAAAATATAGAAATATACCAGTTTTCATTTTGTTCGAGGACAGAGGTAGAAATATTTAGCAGCCAGATTTTTCAAAATATTATCAATGGTGGGGAAAAAAACTACACGGAGATTCAGCTTATTTTATTGAGTGAATCCTGGGAACAGTCGCCCTTACCAGGTCTGTGGAAATGCTGGGGCGAGCGTGACGTGGTTGGAGTGTAGCTGTGGCGGTTGTACACAGGCGAGCTGATGGAGCCCTGGCTCGTGGACCGGTGGATCACCCGATCCCGTGTGTCCTGGTACCCCTGCAGACAACGTTCCAGAAAGTGTGAGTACAGAACACATTCAGACTATCATCATCTCCAAGCGAAACCAAGTTCCGCAGACGTTGTTGAGGAACTATCATGTCTACCTGTTCATGTAAGTTTTGGGGACCATATTTCCTAAATACGTATGCAAATGAGCATTTTGTGACAAATGCATTTTGTTCAAAACCTGCAGTATTTGCATTTCTTAAAATTTTAAGATGTAAAATTATAAACAATAGTGATAGAGCACTGGGAAAAGAAGTAACAATTCCAATGACCACATTTATATTCTGCTTTTCAGTTTTACAAAGTGTGTTCACCTACATCAGATCTGCATACCAGTAAGGGAGGCAGACCACAGAGAATCACCACTCTTCCCCACTAATGTAGAAACAAGGATCCATGCAGGTCACAGGCCTGTGTGTAGGCGAGTAGCTAACACGGGCAGAGCCTAATCTCTAATCTCTTATTTTACCTCTTGTTCTGACCACCAACCCACATTGTCTATTACACTGGTTATGTGACATTTTAAATCGATTCTCTTGGAGAACAAGGTGGTAGTTATTTTATGTTTCTTTCTTTTCTTTTCTTTTTTTTTTTTGTGGCTGGGCTGGTTCGGGGATCCCAACCCTTGACCTTGGTGTTATCAAGTTGGTGGTAGTTACATTAAAGACAGTAATTCTACTTCTCACCTTGTAAAACATATTCTAAGGAAATAATTTAAAAAGATCTTTAAAAAGAATAATTTATCTGAAGGTCTTTATAATACCATCATTCAAAAGGCAAAAATTTGTATCACATGCTCAACAAATTGAGGAATAATTAAGAAATTACGATGTATCAATATTCAATGAAATTTTATAACTTCACTTATAAATTATCAGAATACTAATAGAAATGAATTTTTCATAACACCCAATCACAAACCACGGAAATACTATGGAGTTGTCACCATCTCGAATTACAGAGAGTCATCAGTCCAGTTTTATTTTTATTTTTTATTATTTTTTTTATTTTTTATTTATTTATTTATTTTGTCTTTTTTGTCTTTTTCCGTGTCCGGCAACGGATCGCAACCCTCAGTGTCGCCCCCGTACCGGACTGGGGACTGGCAACGGGATTGCAACCCTCGGCGTTGCTCCCGCGCCTCGCTCAGCCAGTGAGCGGGAACCGGTCCGTATGTGGGATCCGAACCCTCGGCGGGAGCGCCGCCGCGCTTCCCAAGCGGCGCACTATCCAGTGCGCCACCGGGCCGGCCCCATCAGTCCAGTTTTATAAAGAGTATCTAGAAAGTTGCTTGGCTTTAAGGCCAGACTATTGATTTTAGACTAAAAGGAGTAACCTCTCACGAAGATGGCTCTGCTTATAGAATACACTGTGACCAGTGTTGTCCATTTCAAATAATCCAGTATATTAGGGTTGAGATCAATTAATTATGGATGAGGGACAAGTGGCTTCAGTCCCTGCAGATACTTTTCTACCACTTAGAGGCATAGGCTCAGATCAGTGTGAAGCCATTTTTACTCCATAGTATTCATTTTAAATATAATTTACTGCTGTGTCTCATGGTCCTATCTTACACATAAGTAATCCCCACATCCATCATAATCTCACATGCAATTTCTCTGTTCTTTTGTGTTATGTCCTTTTTCATATATTCCAGTCTAGGAAAGGTCCAAGCAACTCAAATTCCACCCATTAAAATGGCCAAAAAGGGTACTTACTTCTGCTGATGGAGTAGGAGACAAAGTCCTTGGAGACTAGAAGAATAATAGAGAATTTAAAGTCATGATGTTTGTTAACTCTACCAGAATCAGTTGGAAACATTATCCAAAACACATATACCAGGCCCCCCATCTTGTGATTTAGCAAATCTGCAATGGGGCTCAGATAGGTAAGTATACATTGACAAGGTTCCTTGGAGATTCCGGTGCACATTTCTGCCTAAGAATCACGGGTTTAATAAATATGTTGTGATGCTTTAGGTGATTAAGCGAGACAAATTGGAACTATTTCCCCTGAAACTATGCTCAGTTTATTACTATGGGTTGCAGCATCTACTGAAACATAGGATTTTATAAACATGGTTGTTGACTAAATTGTAACCACAACAATCACTGTAAAATAGTTTGATGAAGGCTAGTTTGATACCACTGTGATGACCAGTGTGTGGCATCCTGCCCTGGCTGCCTCGCCAACCTTGCCCCACCATTCACTCTCCAGCTTCCATCCTTCCAGGCACACAGGCTTTCTTGGGACCATCAGCAAGCCAACCCTCTCTCTCCTCAAGGCCTTTGGAAGGAGACTTGCTGTCTCCTCTGCCACCAGTGCTTCTCACCCAGACACCTGCAGGGCTCCCTCGCCATCTTCAGTGAGGTCTCTGCTCAAACCCCACTGTCACACGGCACCTTCTGTGACCCTCCTATTTAGGGTCTTTGTAAGGAGACTTGCTGTCTCCTCTGCTGCCAGTGCTTCTCACCCAGACACCTGCAGGGCTCCCTCGCCATCTTCAGTGAGGTCTCTGCTCAAACCCCACTGTCACACGGCACCTTCTGTGACCCTCCTATTTAGGGTCTTTGTAAGGAGACTCGCTGTCTCCTCTGCTGCCAGTGCTTCTCACCCAGACACCTGCAGGGCTCCCTCGCCATCTTCAGTGAGGTCTCTGCTCAAACCCCACTGTCACACGGCACCTTCTGTGACCCTCCTAGTTAAAGTAGCAACACAGCCCCTGGCATGCTTGATCCTTACTTTGCTTCCCTTTTCCTCATAGCACTACCACCCTGTAGAATCATATCATATGTTTACTGTCTGCCACCCACATGTTGCTGCAAGCTCGACTCTGTTCCTTTCCAACTATGAGAGCAGCTCCTGGCACCAATTAGGTGCTCAACTAATATTTTCTGAATGAATGAAATGTTCACAATGAAAATGCAAAAAGCTTTCAAGCAGACATGATATGCAAACAGAGCATTCCAGAGAACATAGCCAGTAGTGAATTTCTCAGTTTTAGAATTTGCTCTTTTCCCCACATTTACAATTAGCTAGCAGACTCTCTTGCACTCCATGCTTTCTCCAGCCCCACGGTCTCATATGCAGCTACAGCCTGTCTCTGGAGGGTCTTAGCTCGGTGAAAATGGGCTCCTCACGGGCAGGAGCCAAGTCTGTCCTGCTCTGATGGTGGGGCTCTGGATCTACCCTACTCAAGCTTTCTAAAGTCATGAACAGCCACACAGAACTTTAAGTGTACTCCTTTAGCATTTCTAAAATGGCAACACATGGATTTTATTTAAAAAGTGTTAATAACTAAGGAGATAAATAATACAATAGCTTGCAAAGTTTTCTAAGTTGGAAGATCCATGTGCTGGAGAAGAGTTCACTAATATATCTCATTTCTGATCCAAGGTGGCATCCTCTATGCATAGAGAAAAACCCCACAGGTCATTACTCCTGGTTACAACAGTAACAGTGCTGCTTACCGGAGCAGCTAGCATTTTTGTTGACTACTTGTTACATGCCAAGTTCTGTTCTAATCTAGGCATCTCACTTAACCCCTACAAAAAACCTAGAAAGGAGGCACTATTATCCTCTAACTTGAGTTCACAGATCCAGAGACTGAAATCTGTAATTTTCCCAAAGTCATATGGTTAGTAAATATGAGATTCTGGTTTAAAAGGCACACTTTTTCTCTTCAAAGGCCAAACTCTCATGTGCTTGATGTTTTACTATCCCAGATGGAGCCACTGGGCAACACACACATGCACACATACCCCATAACACCATAAAAAAACTCACCTCCCCCTTGGTTATATGACTTGAACACTAGTAAATTCTCATCCATTTCTCCAAGACCAGCCCCTAAATACTTTGTTCAGGAACCTCCCCTTGCCCTTTATCCCCTGTGACGCTCTCTGGGGTTCAATGGCAACTAATAACCCAAGGCAATCAACCTGCATTTGAGAGCTGCCCTGGATGCAGCTACCGCTAAGCAACCACTAGGTGGCAGTACACGAAAATGGAAATCAACAACTCCCAATGGACCGTTTCAACATAGAACTGCGCTCTAGAATAGAACCCAGATTCAAGATAAATAAAAGGAACTATATGAGTATATAATTGCAAGTAAATATGAAATCATAAAGCAATGAATATTACTTATCATTAGTTTATATATAACATACACAAAATTAGAAAAAATTAAATGGAATCGCGTGTTGATGCTTTTTTTCCATCTAAGACCTCAAAGCACTGTGCGACGCTGCAGACTGTTTACAGTCTGTTTTAACCTTGGTTGAATGGCTGATTTCAGCCCACGGCTTGAGTAACATCTCTCTGAGTGGACACGAATGAATCTATAGATGATTCCAATTAAAAAATAAAAGGGAAAAAAATGAGAGTGAATTGAATAGGCCAGGGGAAACTGACCAGAGCCCATGAGACCTGGGTAGGAGGTGACAGAAGGGAGCCCCTAGCCCTAGGATGAAACAAGAGAGGGGAGGAGCCCAAGAGGCAGACAGGCTCTGGTCCAGCAAGTGGCTGAGCATTAATAAGCCCCAAGAGGACAGGTAACAATGGTAGTAGCTGCCATTTGCTGAACCTCTGCCACAAGTCAGGCCCTTGCTAATTGCTTTACATAGGTTAGTTTATTTAATCCTCTCTAACACCCTAAGGAGGTGGGTTCTATCATTATTCCATCCGTTTTACAGATGAGGAAACACAGATCAGAACAGTTGTCACATGTCTAAAGTCAGACAACCAGCACCTGGTGATTCCTGGGTTGAGCCTGGGCGGTTTGATTCTAGAACTCTGGCTCGTGCCACTGTGCCATGCTGCTGCCTCATCCTACTTTCTGTCTTCTGGCACATTCTGACTATCTTAAGATGCTGAAAACTGCAGCTACTAAAATTTAGGGAGTGTGTTCTACCCCTCATGATCCCAAGAATATACTTAAAGCTTATCTCAAGACCAAAACCCCCCAGAAGACCCTCCCTCTTTTATTTCCTCTGTCAGGCTCATAGAGTCTCCCAACAACTTCAGCTTCCATCCCAGCACGTGGCTCCTTTAGCCAACACCCTGGTGCTGATGCTTATCCATCCTTCACTGTCTGTGTGCAGTTGGTGGGCCCTCCCACCTCTCTGTAACTTCCCTGAGGGCAGGAACCACATGATAGGTTTGTGAATAGCTCAAAGCACCTGATATAGAAATGTGCAAATAGTAGGCCATCAAAAGACTGTCTGATTTATTTTAATGCTAAATAGTAGTTCTTATATACATGACAAATAGGAAAGTAAATTTCTGTACAACTTGCAACCACTGGAACTTATTACCTCTCCAAGGCTCTGTCTCTCCTGCTTGTCATCATAGCCCGAGGTGTAGAAAGGCTCATAGGTAATAAGATCTGGACGTTCAATATCATAAATCGCCTTGACCTTGGGAATAGCCGCTAAATCCTTGTAATCCAGGATTTCATTGTCTACTTTTGCCTGGCAAAGTTAAACAAAAAGTAAAAAATTACTCTGCAGTCTCATTTCTTCAGGAAACTATTGTTAGTGTATTTCATGTCTTTTTAAAACAGTGAAGACCTTAAAAACAAAAACCAAAACACCTTGCTCAGTATGGTCCTACAGTTTTATACCCTATATTTACTATGTTTTTTTAAAAAATGCCACCAAAAGCTTAGAAAAAAGTCTGTATAGAATTCACTAAGTAGAGAAATGTGTAAACCTTAAAGTGAAGACCTTAAAAACAAAAACCAAAACACCTTGCTCAGTATGGTCCTACAGTTTTATACCCTATATTTACTATGTTTTTTAAAAAAATGTCACCAAAAGCTTAGAAAAAAGTCTGTATAGAATTCACTAAGTAGAGAAATGTGTAAACCTTAAGGATATTTTTCTGAATTTATTACAGAGAAGGAAAAAGCTCAAACAGATGGTCAAAAAATCCTCCCAGATGGCTAAAAACAAGAACTGCATTTTTTTTTTTTTTTTGTCTTTTTTTCCGTGTCCGGCAACGGATCGCAACCCTCAGTGTTGCCCCCGTACTGGACCGGGGACCGGCAACGGGATCGCAAGCCTCGGTGTTGCTCCCGCGCCTCGCTCAGCCAGTGAGCGGGAGCCGGTCTGTATGTGGGATCCGAACCCTCGGACGGGAGCGCCGCCGCGCTTCCCAAGCGGCGCACTATCCAGTGTGCCACCGGGCCGGCCCAAGAACTGCATATTTAATAAACTAAATATTTAAATATCTTTGTGGGAGAATTTAAGAATACTCAGTATCAGCATCATAAAATGTATAATTAATCCCCAAATATCTATGCACAAGTTAGGTGCAACAATTTTTTAAGCCCTGCATCATATTACTGCATTTTATAGATCATCTACTTGGTCACTCCACTGATGGTCACCTATGAATTTAATTATCTGAAGAAACACGTGATTGAGAAGACTGATTGACAAGAATGAAAATCAGACCTCATCACACAAATAGAAATCATTTTGAATTAGCTTCTGTTTTGGGTTCTCCGTTCTACTATTACAATGCACTAACTCACCTGTCCCAGAAGTGTCACTTCCAGAAGTAGATACTTACATAGATAGTGTGACCTGGTGAGCCAGGGATACTGGAGCCTGGTCTAGAATAAATACTTTCAGAGGAAGTCCTGGTAGGCTGTAAAATAAATGGTGACTTGTAAGATTTCGGAGTCAAGAACAATCTGGGCCCCTAAGCTTAACTAAAAACTAAGCCAGTTAAAAAGGAAAGATGTGTGACCTTTGTGAATAAGGGAAAATACAACCTAGCAGGAAAGACAAATGAAGACCAGTAGTTCAGGCCAGCTTCATAAATGCATCTGGGGGCCTTTCTTGGTCCCTTCCTCTTCCTTGTCCCCTACAAAAACTGGCTCTACCTTCGAGCACATCTCAAAGCTGCCTGTTTCTCTCCCTCTCCACTGCCACAATCCAGCCCAGCACCACCTGCACCCATCCAGACATTGCACTGGCCTCCCCTAAGGGCTTCCTGCTTTTACCCTTGCCTTCTTTGAATCCAGTTGGCACCCAGTAGGTCTTTTTAAAGAGAGAGCTTGTAAGACCATAATGTGGATCGTCACTATCCTGCTTTTGGCTTCAGTGTCCGCTCAGAATAAAATCACAATTCCCAGGCCCTCAGGATTTTGTCCTCTCCTGCCTTGTCACTTGCTACCCATCGTCACTCACAGGAGGAGGAGCATGGACCTGCCTCAACTTGTCTTTGCTGCTCCCTCTGCCTGAAATGCTCCTACTCCCGATTTTACTTGGTTGATTCTTTTTCCTCCAATCTTGGCTTAAATTTCACCTCCTCCAAGAGGCCTTCCCTGATCTCCAGTCCAGAGTTGGTTCCCCTTGTTTTTTCTCATAGTGTCATTTTTATTTTTTCCTTCATGAATAAAATTTATAATTATAAACTTATCGGTTTCCTTGCATTATGTCTATTTCCCTCACTAACTTTAGTCATGATCTCCATTCTCATAGTCTTTTTTCCACCACTGTATAATGCACTTATGGATATATTTACATAAATACTTTTTCAGGGAATGAGCTAGAATTTATTATTTGTAAATAAATACTCAGTTTGCGGACAGCTGACTCGTTAATTCCATGGTTTGAGCCTAAACACACGGAGAGTCACTGAAATAAGGTTGAGGCTGGTCTCTGGAGAAGATAAAACAGAACTTTGTGATATAAACTTGGAGAACCCTAAGAGCGAGTGGCAGTTCTATGAGCAGAGGGAGGCGTATGAACTGGCAATCAACTGCCTCTTACTTCTGCTTCACAGATACTGAAAAGTTCTGCAATGAAAACCAAAGGCCTGATCTTGGAAGACTTCCTCACCTCCGTTGCAGCTATTTACTGGAAAGGATAATTTGTAGTTCTGTGACAGGAATAGGACCTTGTCCTCTTCAGTGCTGTTTCTACTGACATTTGACACCTTGAAGATGATCATAACTGAGCCAAAGAACTCCTAAAGGCAGGGGTATGACGTCACTATGTAACTCACATCTGAAATAATGAAAGCAAACACTCGTGGCCAGCTCAAGTCAGGCAGTGATTAGACTCACTCTAAAAGCAAGGATTCCCTGGAGAACTGTGATCAGTCATTCTTGGCCAGTGTCTCTGGTTCCTTTGAGATACCAGGGTGGATGGGGGTAGGAGAAATCACATTACGCTCAGGTGGAGGTGTGCTGAGCTCACCCTGAATGCCTGTCATCCACAAGCACTTTCCTTCTGGAGTTACAATTTTCCAATCACAGGCATTATTTCGACATGAGAAAATACTACATCTGAATATGTAAGAAAAAAGACTCACATGCCATTAACTCAAAAAGTGTTCAATTTCTAGATCCATCTCCTCATCAAAATATAAAAGTGGCATCAGAATGCAACCCTCCTTTAAAAAGAGATGCCACCCCTTAAAAAATGGGAGCTAATATCCATCTCTGTGTGATAATTATTAACTACAGATAGCCCTTAAGCTTTAAGTGGCCAGGATCTAATATTTGCCAAACTCAGTATCAAGATCTCTTAAGTAGCAACACAAGAATATTAATAGCAACCCATGTTTATTGGCGCACTTTCTATATGGCAGGCCTGCGCTAGGCACGTCCCAGTCGTAATCTCATTTAATCTTCTCAACAACCCTAGGAGGTAGGTTCTGTTACTTTACAAGTGCTCCAAGCCACACAGGTAGGAAAGGGACAGAGTCAGGATTTGAACCCAGATACCCTAGGTCCGGAGCCCAAGCACTTAACCCCTGCACTAAATTCTTGCCTATATTGTAAGGTATGATCATTCACTTCCCATCAACATGGCTATGGGACAAATACAGTGAAAGTAACAGAAAAATACTGAGACCAGGTAGCAGAAAAGAATGCCTGCTAACTGGAACTATTTTTATTGCACCAGCTCTTTAAGAACTTGCAACAGCTCACTGTGTCAGGGTGCGGCAGGAGAGGGTTTGCAGCAGAACTGATTCTGACATCTTCAGTTACTGGGGTTGCTATGACAAGGGCCTGTTTTCATTAACAAGCATCCAGGACACGGCGTGAAGTGCCAAAGTACATGCTGGAGCTTTGGGGTCTCTCATATGTTACTCATCCCAGTTTCGGCCAAGAGTGTGCCTTTCCTGTAACGATGCACCTGGGGATGGCTCTGAAGTGCTCTTTTGCTCTGGTACTGCACGTGCTGATAGGGATAAGCTGAAGAGCATCACGAGCACATGTGGAAAAGGGTCTTTAATGTTCTCTCCCAGGGATGAAGAATCCATGGGGGAAAAAGGTCTCTTGGCTGAACTAGCCTGTTTCCATACAGTTCCTCCCTACGCTCCTTCTCTGAAGCATTTCTCTTGTCTATTTATACTGTTAATATTGTTGGGCTAATGGTTTAAAGAGTTATTCTACAATCTGAAGTTTTGTTGAGTCCCATTTGATTCTTTAAAGGTTTTCAGATCTGAATCCCCTTCAATTTGCATACACCTGCTCCCAAGTTCTCTGATGCCAGAACATTTTAGAAATTATAGTCAGAAAGTTTTCAAAGTCAAGTCAACTGGTCAACAAATCTGCCAATACTCTGGCTCTTAGAGTGATGTGTTATTTGAGAAATGCTAAGATGTCTCTTGGAGGTTCAGAAACCGCTCTTTCATTGAGTTTACCATCGTTTGCTTCTGCTTCTTTTTGACTTCCTCACATTACTGTACATTTCACTCCCATAGGCATTTTTTTACGGGTTCAGTTACCTTCTTTGCTTGCCTACTTTCTTACAATGACCCTTGTTTGTTTTCCTGTCTATATTGTAATAATGGGATAAAACACAATTTTGCACAGTGTAATACAGTGAGGTTAAAAGGCTGACTTTAGAGTCAAATAACTCGGCTCAAATCCTGGCTCTACTAGTTGTGTGACATCAAATGAGTTTTTCTTTTTTTTCTTTTAACTTCCTTGAGCTTCAACTTCTACATTTACAGAATGGGGAGAGACTACTAGCAACAATTACTTCCTGGGTTTAAATGAGATAATATGTATAAAGCTCCAAGCACCTTACTGGGCACATGGCAAGTAGTCAACATTTTCTAGACATTTGGCATTAGGCTGGATTTCTTAGCCAGTTACTCTCAAATAATGAAGGACGGCATTGCCTCCATTTTGCTCCTCATGATAGGATATTCCTTTCAAATGGGAGCTACACAGATGATGCTATCTACAGTTCTCTACAGCTACCGTCCTTGGATTCCTTCCCATCAGAACTCAGATATCTTAAGTAATTTATCACAGTATATGGGACAGCAGTCCTGCCAGGAGTTGACAAATACTCTTCTCTTCCTTGAGAGTGATTCTGAAACCTCTTGGAGATAGTGACTTCCTGCTCATTTCTCAGCTTCAGTAATTAATGCCTTTCCCACGCTGGATGGTAATGACCTTGCACAGGCCTGTCTTATCAAGGCTTAAATGACACACATGTATTGGCTGCTTCTCGCCACAGTCTCAAAGTGTATTTGCTCAACTAACAGGTTAGAGGCCTCTCCCCGATGAAGATAATTACTTTTTAAAACTCAATATTATCTTTGGAGTTTTAGTCCTAAACATTTAGAATTTTACATTTCAATTCTAAACATCTAGAATTCTAAACATGTTAAATTTTAAATTAACATCTTGTTTATTATTAGGAGAACTTCTTCTATTATTCCAGCCATCTCACCACCCCCGCACCCCCAAATATATAACTTGCTGCTATGGCTAAGACATCTTCAAAAGGCACAAAGCTATCCTTCAACACGGCAGTGCATATGCACTCAAACTGAAACCCATGTCAACCTTGAAAGGTCTCACTCACTGACATGCTATCTCTCTTTTAAATCCCACTGACCGTTTTTTCTTCTGTACCATTAACCCAACTCTAGTGTCACCTCATTGGGTTGTAATAAAATTTTACAGATGATCCACATTTCCTCAGATGATCCTTATGTGCAATTATTTAACCCAAATTACCATTTCAACCTGCTCAGATATCCACGTTTTTTCTTCTGTACCATTAACCCAACTCTAGTGTCACCTCATTGGGTTGTAATAAAATTTTACAGATGATCCACATTTCCGCAGATGATCCTTATGTGCAATTATTTAACCCAAATTACCATTTCAACCTGCTCAGATATCC